TTGTGATTATAATTGTGTGCAATCGTTTTTTGATTTTTCCCCCTCGATTCTGGGAGAACAAATATTTTTATCGGAGTAGAAGGATGGCAGAAGACACTACACTACCCAGAATCCCAGCTAGTCGTTTAGGGAACCTACATCCAATGTCTCTGTTTTGACAAAACCCGTGATAGTCTCAAGCTCTGTGAATTGGTCGACCTTCCAACTGCATTCAATATGAAAAAAAAGTTCTTGAAAAGATAAAATCATACTTTATTTCAGCGTGCTTGGCTTTAACTCTTTGAAAGATCACATGATGCATTGTAATTAAATGGTTCGGTAACATTAAATATATTACCTTCTTCCATAGTTTCCTTTATTTTTATTATCTACAGATATCGGTGCCCTCGAATAGAACCGGAAACTATTCTTTTACCGTTCAGTTTGAATTTCACAATAAAGTTAGTAGCAATATTTTGTTTTAATATTATTGTTTTTTATTAACTACTAGACCGCTGGGTCATGTTAAGACCATCTTTTTCTGTGTTGCTGTGGGTTTTTTCCATCGCTTTTGTGTTACAAATATCAAAACAATAACTAAATATATCCGTCGTAAACTAAACCAGAAACAGCATTATATTTTATTTATTTATTTTGTTAACACTGTAAACTTGACAGCTTTCTAACCCAAACCACCTACTGGTCAAAGCACGTTATTACACGTTTAGAGCAATGCAATGCAGGTAGATTGTGTTGCTTTTTAATGACTGTTTACAATGCCTTTTTCTTAATGTCTTTTATTATTATTAACTACTTGTTACTTGTTGCTAGGGACGCTGCTATCGATATTATTTATGTTATGTTGTGTAACTGTTTAATGGTGTTATCTTTATTGCTACCCCCTTCCCCGTCAATGTGTATTCTTGGTCCACAGCGCAAACGTTTTAGTTTAACAAAATCTGCATCTAAAATTGTGGCATAGATAGACTACGTTATTTTCCCCTGTGCAATTCTCCATTTACTCAACAATAACACATAATTATCCTTGTGTTTATTTATTTGTTTGATTAATTAACACAAGTTGGAGTCCGTCAGGACCGAGGGTCGGAGCAGCTCATTTGCTTTAGAGAATATTACACCCGGAAGTAAGTATTCTCTCCGCTTCGCTCGACAAACCCCGTGATAGTCCTCAAGCTCTGTGATTGGAGAGTGTGCTCCGAGGGTTACGCCGAGCGTCGAACAGCACTTGAAATGGGATGGAACCAGGGCAGACTGTCCAAAACTGGATTTGAACGGGTCCGCTACAGTATAGGAAACGTTTGGTTGAGGTTATTGCTGCCAAAGGAGGGTCAACCAGTTATTAAATCCAAGGGTTCACATACTTTTTCCACCCTGCACTGTGAATGTTTACATGGTGTGTTCAATAAAAACATATAATTGTTTGTGTGGTTTTAACTTAAGCAGACTGTGTTTGTCTATTGTTGTGACTTAGATGAAGATCAGAACAAATGTTATGACCAATTTATGCAGAAATCCAGGTAGTTCCAAAGGGTTCACATACTTTTTCTTGCAACTGTATATATCTATCTATCCATCTATCTATCTATCTATCTATCTATCCATCTATCCATCTATCTATCTATCTATCTATCTATCTATAAGGAATCGCAGTAAACAACAGGCGTTGCTATAGCAACACGTCATGTTTTCGCGGGAGATCAGTAGTGCGAAAATCACTGCATTTTCTATAAGGTAAATATTACCCGCTTGCGCTGATGGGTATAAATGGCAATTTTTTGGGCAATTTTTTCGATCTGACTTCATATTGAAAATGTTTAACAACAGAGGGTGCTACATAACACACTTTCAGGAAAAGTCACGGATCGGGAGACTTGAATATTTTATTGAAAAAAAGTTACATATAATCAAGAAACAGCTGTGGGTAAAATGTACCCGTTGGCGGTTCTAGTGTTACATGTCTATGTTTAGGCAACACAAATACTGGTCATTTGGCAAAAGATTTGCTAATTTCAGAATAACTAAGGTCACTCATGATTGGGGTTGTCTTCTTATAACCCTTATCCTGACAATACCCTAATGCATTATGCAACCCTTGCAAACCAGCCTTAGTTCCTTTTTCCTTGCCCCTCTGATGCTGACCACAACCTTTTCTTGGTTTCGCCTGTCTGGCCCTTGACTGCTTACTTTGCCCTCTTTGACAGATTACCTGTCACAGAACTGTGCTTTGAGCTCAAAGTAAACGATTGATTGCTTTCAAGTACTTTACCTCTGAGTACCTATTGCGAATCCACATCTCTATGCCTGGAACCATTACAGTATGGCGGATTGATGAGTGATGGATTCAACGAGTGATTAAAGGGTTGTCTCAATACTCCCTCCACAGAGCAGTACATAATTAATAAAGTGACACCAATGTTAGATTAATTATAATTCAAGTTAAGATAGGCTATAAATCATACTGCAATACAAAGGAAGTAGCAACCTGGAGGCGTAACATCTATTGAGTTAGGGAGAATACTTTAAAACACATGCTGTGATTTCTGGTTGCGATTATTTTAAACTTTAAACCAGCTGTTTCTCACTCTATACTCAAACTGACTTTGATGGATTTTTTCAGGAAAGTACTATTACTACAACTGCTGCCCCTGCCTGTTGCAAAAATAGATACATCCTTACAAACTCAGAGCAGTCTGAGTTTAAAATGACTGCTTTTACTTTCAAAATGTGAGTGATTGTAACAAGTGGAAAGACAAATCAGCAAACGGTGAAATGGGAGAGAGTTGGTGAAGGGAAGAGTGTTATTTAGCTGTCTCCCAAACTGAAGAAACCCCTTCCAGATTTATAACTTCACACACACATACACTTCACCTCAAAGCACCTGCCAAAGCATGGCATTTTGAAAAAATTACTACTTTCATCTCTTTCCAAGCCATTTAAAGAATAAATACCAAAGAAGAGACATGCATATTCATACCAGGGCAAAGCAGGATTGACTTGGCTGTTGAAATTCATCCAGACTAAGATTGTGAAGTGAGGAGAGAGGAAGCTTTTGACATAACAAATTGTATAAGTATTAGACAGAAAGGCACACATGCACCATCAGATGAATTCTGAAGGCCGCCTGTTGGTTTCAAAGAGATGGCGATGTGCTTATACGAACACACATCAGCCTTTGATTTGGTTTAATCGACTGTACTCAGTCTCTGGCAGCATGATTAGCATTTTACTGTATTTTTTATTTATAAATGAAAGCAGCAACATTTTGAAGTGTGATTTTACCCCGCTGTGAAGAAAGACAGTGTTTGAAATAGCTTGGGAATTTATTTGTGTGATTCTACCTCAATAAGTAGTCTACATCAGGAGTTCCCAACCCCCGGCCCGCGGACCAGTACCAGGCCGCGGAGGTGTTACTGCCAGGCCGCGAAATAGCTGTGAGTTTACCGTAATATTTGCAGAATTATAAATATATAAAAATATTTTTATCATAACGTTTTTTTTCAAAAAGTAGCCTGGTTAAACTTTCAACAGAAAACAGTTGAGCATGCTTTTTATGATGTTCCGAGGGATTCGGCGGCTCAGCCTAAGGTCTCAGCCTCTCGTGCGCACAAGAAAGTTACCGGTGCGCCAAGTAGGAAGAGGAACACACAGGAGACAACCGTTTCATTGCAGACTGGATGCTATTTGTTCAGGCTGTTACATACAATTAGTCTCTGTTGCTACCTGCTGGTGAGTAAATATTAAAATCAGTTAAAATTGACAACCGGTCCGCGATAATCTTTTTATGTATCTGTCGGTCCTTGGCACAATAATGGTTGGGAACCCCTGGTCTACATTACACATCTTAAGCTATGCATTAGCAACATCAATGTTAATTTTTAGTGTGTGGAGTATAACGTTTTTAAACAGTGCTTCATTTGGAAAAACTGAAGTGACTTACAGGAAGAGCAGAGTTCAGTGTTTCTCTCTTGCAATTTTCTGCAGATTAATGAGGTATTTATCCTAAATAAAAGGCTTTAGAGACATAATCTCCTTAATTATTACAATACTTTTGCATTGAAACAAAAAAAAGATGGACACATTTCAATCCCACCTCATGCACATTGTACAACTAAGAAATAAAGAATCTGAGAAAAGAGGAAATAAAGAAATCCAGCAGATAGAAAACAACCTGAACACGGTGGGAAGGAACAGCAGGTTGTTTATGATGACTGCAGACTAGATGACAGTTTCCACTGAAAGCTTGCAAAACTACTCAAATATACCCCTGGGCAGGATTATAAACCTATTGCATAGCACAGCACCTGCTGCTAGAGCTTCCACTGAAAATGATATGAGTCGAGCAGCTCTGGAGAAAACAACATATTTTCTTGTTCCTCTGATAATACCACCACACATTCGGAGTAGGAGTCTCTTTGCCAATCAGTCAGAGAACAGAGAGCCATTGGAAATTTGCATAACTGAGCACCCCTGACAACAAACACAGCCAAATGATAAGCATGTCTGCGCACGTGTCAATAGGACATGTTATTAATGTCTGTATCTCTGTGCAGATGAACATTTGAATAGCTTGATTTCTGGTGTAATAATGAAGCTGGAATTAGAGCTGTCATTATAGCGTCATAGACCTCTAGAACATGCCATAATTGACAATCAATTTATATTGTCAGTAGCACTTTATAATAAGATGCCTTTTAAAACAATTCCATCCAAAAGCAATGATGACAAGCAGATAATGGTACAGTAAATGTTGCTTTTAAAGAAATATAATATTTATTTTTTGCTTTAAATCATTTATGTTGCCAATCACAAATCCTTTGCCAAGATTTTTCTTTCAAATGTTGTTTAATTCAGTAGAGAATCACTCATTTAATGTACAAACCCTATCCATATGTTTTAAATTCATCTCAGACTTAAAATAAATAATGTATAGAAGCATAGTAGAACTTGTAACAAAGAAAATGAACTAATACCTTACTATGTTTTTCTTCTTTCTGTATCAGGCTTGCAAGATGTCCTGCCAGAGTTCCTGCGTGAGCGTTTTGTGGAGGCAGCCCTCAGCTATGTGGCATGCAACTCAGAGGGCGAGTTGCTCTGCCGCAACAACGACTGCTGGTGCCGCTGCTCGCCCCGCTTCCCAGAGTGCAACTGTCCCTTCGCTGACATCAAGGTCATGGAGGCGAACCTGGAGAAGAGCAAAGGGGCCTGGCAGGGCTTAAACCAAGATTTCATGGATTCAGGTATGGGCTGGTATTATATGAAACTAGTAGGGAGGGCAATGAAGTGGACACTACCTGAAATAAGGATGTGGTGTGTGAGTTTTTTTTGGGTGTATACAACAGTGGCAAAGGATAGGCATTAACCATTCATAATCAAGTCGGCAATGTTAGGAACTTCTGGAATCCCTCGCAGGCCTATCGCCAAAAACCCCATACATCCATGATGTTCTCTATTGGCGCATCGGCCACTAAGCAAATCCTGCAGCATAATACATGGAACTGTCATCAGAAAATTAGACATATTCCGTGATAAAGTTCTTTATTTTCAGTAATGCGAATTACACGAAAGACCAAAAATGTCATACATTCCATGGATTCATAGATACAATCAAAGCAGAAATATTGCAAGCCTTTTATATATTTTTAATATCTGCTGATTATGGCATACAGCTTAAAGAAAACTCATCCTATCTCTAATAAGAATATCATGAAAATAGTTGATAGCAGTAGGAGCAAAGGTTCAACGAAATGCACTTGAATCAGCTAATTAGACCAGAAATTAGACTCCGAAACACCCTGCATAGGGTTCCTGAGGCCTTGAAAAGAACAACTCCAGGCTTGGTCAGATAAACTAAATCACAAAGTACGGGGGAAGGACTGCTGATCTGAACCTGCTGCGGGCAGAGGAACCGCGCGTCCATTTGACACCGCTCGCATCAGGCAGGGTAAGAGACGCCAAAAAGAAATTCTTCAACCAGAGCAAGCTCGTTCAGGCCGAGTGGGGCAGTTTCAAAGCAGCCAGTCCACAAAAGTCTGTTGGTAACAGGGGAAAAAATGTGGAGAAAGAAGACGGCTTGGCACGAAACCAAGGAGGAGATACCGCATCGCCTTAAGCAGGCATTGTGAAGAAGAGGTCGGCTTCCAGAATTTTGGGGGACTTCAAAGACCAGTGGACTGAAGGCTGGAGTCCCCAAGGTATTCGAACAAGTCAGCTGTTGCAGCGGGAGACGTGTCGCGGGAGAATGGGGCTACAATAGCCGGCGTATTGCCTATGGATACAAACGGGCCACTTCTGAAGGGGCTCAAGAAAAACGGAAGAGGGCGTCCTGACTTGGCTAGAGGAAAAGAGGCACTCGGACAGTTGGCAGCAGTTGGTCCAAAGTCGGCTCTTCTTTCAGAACCGAAAGCAAGTTTGTATTTCAATGTTGAAGTCAAGGCGCCAGAGTGCTGGAGAAAGGCTGGAGAGGAAGCAAAATCCAAGTGCTTGAAATCCAGTGTTGAAGTTCCCAGCAAGTCAGCGATTGGTTTGGGGAGCATGTCAGCTGCTGGTGTTGGTCCAGCTGTGTTTCATCAAGGGAGCGGCCAGATAAATGCAGCTGTGTAGCGCAAGCCGAGATTCTTAGAGCAACTACATGCTTACACGTACTGGGCTGAAAAGCCTATGAGAGATGAGGAATTGCATTTGCTACAGCCATGATCTGGCGACCCTAGCCGCGACACCAGTGGGCCAAAACCCAAGCCCAGTACTGGTGGTCACCTGACCCATGTCCGCCGGGGCATTAGCTGTCCTCGAGTTGGCCGCTGGCAATTCCGGCCTGAGGACTGAAACCCATAAAGAGAATTATGTCGGGGTACGTTGTGAACCGCAAGAAGGCTGAAAGACACCCGCAGACGCGGGCAACAATGCCTACTAATGAGCTACAAGGCGCTAATTGAAGGCATCTGGCATGCCATAAGCAGCCCTCCAGCCAATGGCCAACAGCGATTGCGCTCGCCATCGGCCACGGCCCGGGCTTGATGCAGTTAATGCCGCGTTGCAAAAGGATTCCCCAACCAAGTACTCCGAGTGCATTCATCCCCTGGACATTTTGCAAAATGTGATGTGTTTTGCTGTTATAAATCTTTTTTTTTTACCTAATGGTCTTGAGGAATATTNTAATCAGCAATATTAAAATAATAAAAGGCTTGCAATATTTCAGTTGATTTGTAATGAATCCAGAATGTATGACATTTTTGTTTTTTTAATTGCATTACAGAAAATAAAGAACTTTATCACAATATTCTAATTTTCTGAGACAGTCCTGTACTCCACAGTCTACCCTGAAATAAAGATAGCTCTCACTCTGAGTAGTGTTTGAGTATGAATTAGAGTAGTTATCCAAGTATGGTTAATGTAGGAATAGTACTACTAATACATGTTCTAAACTATGAGTTTACAGGGATTTGTTTGAAATGTTTTACTGTTCACGGCTGTCTCTCTGCTGTACCATCAAAGACTTGCTATATGAAACCAACAGCTTAAACAGTTCCGAACCACAGTCTTGGGACACTTTCACTGCTGTCAGATGAAACAAAACATGCATTGGGCAATGCAAGCTGTAACTGAACTGCACTGAAATTAAAACAAAAAGTATATCTGTTACTACAGTACTATGATTTTTGCATGTCTGTCGGTTGTATTAGGGATTAAGAAGGCTGAAAGTTCTGAAAATGTCAGCGGGAAAAGTGTACTGTATACACCTGAGCAGTGTCAGTGGTCATTACTATTTGGGTGGTCTAGTCTAGTGGGTGTAAGAAGGCGTTTTTGGAGTGTTCAAGCTTAAAGGAGATGTTCTGTTGCTCTTCAAATTCTTGTGTTGCTTTTAAGCTAAGTTAAGATGGACCTTAATTTAGCCCCGTGGGAAAATTCAAAGGTCGTAGCAGCAACAGAATAAGAAAGAAACACTGGTATTAAACATGGGATAATAAGAACAACATTCACATAATACAAAATAAGACAAAATAAGAATAAACATGTAGTAATAGAATGAATCGAAATAACAAAAATGACACAAGTTAAACTCTGAATTTGAGCAGGTGAATGTAATTACATACAGAAATGTATAACGGTTAAACATAAACATGGAAATGTGCAGGTAGAAATGCGGCGAAAGTCTTGTGTACATAAAGTGCAGGTATTTTTGATGGGTTACATGGATGAGTCTGTGGCTGAACGTGCTCCTCATCTTCCTCATCTTCGGTCTGCATGGAGGGGGTGGGAGCCTTGCTGTTCCAAATAACAGCAGTAATTAAACAAGAGCAAAGAAGCATGAATACACCCTGGCTGTTCAGATCAAATGTACTGATAGTTAAGCCTTGTACAGTCCAATACCTCCTAAATACTAAAGCAGAAAATTACAAAAATCCAGGTTTGTCATCCTTGTGAAAAACCCCACACTCTGCCTTCATGTTTTTAAAGTAATATTTTTTTGGTTGGAAAATTGTAAACTGATTTATAGCTCAAAGGTGAATGCAGTTTATTCTCAAAAACACAGTTTATACAGTGTTTAAAAACTATAAACTAAAATAACTTTCAGGTTTTGCTTTTAAGTACATAATAAATACTAGCACTTCAAGGACAATCTCAGATCCTCTTTTGAATATTCTTCATTTTGTGTCACTTCATTCTGTTGTCCCCGCTTCATACTGATATCATTTTTGCCTTAGCAGGATCAGAAGGAAAAGTAGTAGTGATAGTGGTCATATGTACTAGTATAAAAGGGATAAAGCTGAATTACAAGTTTGAGTAATTTTTTTAGGAAAGCTATACTTAGGAAATATGTTTTTGTGCAGAGAAAGTGTGGAGGCCTTTTCCCCTTGTGTGAAATTAAGAGGATAGCTTCACAGTAGTGTGCATCGTTGCTACACTGGGCTGTCTTTTGACATCTCACAGTTAAGGGAAAGATAAATGAGGAATCAGCATCTTCTCAACTTCCTTTAAAGAACACAAAACTTATGACCTAAATTCTGTATTGGGATGTTGCCTTTCTGTTTTCAGCTTACTTTTTGAAACTACTGCATTATTATACATATTATAGTACTGTGTGGATAGGTTTAAATCCTATAGTGTTAAAATTGTGTATTAGCCTGAAGAGTCTTCCTTAGACAGTCACACACTTTTTAAATCGATTTTCACCCATCCCGCCTGCTTTATCAGATCTATTCATCACGACGAACGAGACACAGGTGTGTGATGTAATTGTGCCAATGATGCAGAACATTCAGGTGTCACTTCCTAAATTGGCTGAAGCTTCTTTCCTTTTTTTTTTTTTTACTACATCTCCAGCTCACTTCCTAATGACTTGGAAGGTGTAAGCCGGCTGTAATTGGAGACAGGTTTTTGGCAGCTTCTCTTACATTTTGAGTGTGTTGTAATTCCCTGCAGAATTCAGGGGATTGTGCATGTGATGCCATTTATTTGGAAATTGCTTTGTGAGTGACATTACGGAGGCAAACAGCTTTCTCTGCATTCACTTAGCCCCATTTTGACAGCATCTGATTTTGCAGAGTTGCTTTCTTTTGCTGCATATTAAATCTTTATAAAGATACATTAACAGAGTTTTGAAAAGAGAGAAGGAAGAAATGTAATTGCGAGGCTTTTCGTGCACCGCTGACTTTATGGTTTTTGTCAGGAGCTTGACTTTGTGCTGTTTGTCAAAAAAAATTAGGCCTTCACTAATTTCAGAAGCTCGTATGCTTTGAGTTAAAAAATATCATGAAAGGCTCCTCCGTAAATATCACACAAGGACAGGCAGTGCAGACAGGCGTGCACTGTACACCCACAGGCATGTATCCAGGGCATCATCAAAGTTTTATCTCATTTTAATGAAGGATACACATTCTTACACTTAGCAAAACTCACACACGTAAAGTGAGAGTAAGGCAATCTACACGGCAAATATTGTTTGACTTTTAGAGCTTCCCCATTATCTGTCTTACTATCTCTGTTCCATTTTTTGCATCCTCTATTTTTTCACACATACACAGTTTCAAAGAGTCTGGCTTTTTTGTGGGTTTTTTATCTTCAGGGGGAGCCTGCAAGTTTGTCTGAATCTCGTCTGCTGTGATGGGCTGATACATTTATTGTGGCGAGGGGAAAACAACTGCGAGCAAAGCATGTGTGCGAGAGAGATTGTTCATGTGTTTCGCAGAGACAGAAGGAGGACAAAAAAGACTTAATGTGTGAATAAGTTGAGTCCAGA